AAAGAAGTAAAGGAAAGAAGGAGAGAAAGAAAAAGAAAGAAAGGAAAGAGAGAAGGGAAGGGAAAGAAAGTTAAGAAATAGAGAAATAAAGAGAGAAAGAAGGAGAGAAAGAGAGAGAGAAAGAAAGGAAAGAAAGAAAAGAAAGAGAGAAAGAAAAAGAGAGAAAGAGAGAAAGAAAAAGAAAGGAGAGAAAGAGAGAAAGAAAGAAAGGAAAGAAAGAGAGAGAAAGAAAGAGGAAAAGACAGTTAAGAAATAGAGAAATAAAAAGAGAAGGAAAGAAAGAGAAAGAGAGAAAGAAGGAAAAGAAAGAAAGAAAAAAAGAGTGAAAGAGAGAAAGAAAGGAAGAAAGAAAAAAGAGTGAAAGAGAGAAAGAAAGGAAGAAAAAAAGAGTGAAAGAGAGAAAGAAAGGAAGAAAGAAAAAAGAGTGAAAGCGAGAGAGAAAGAAAGGAAGAAAGAAAGAAAGAAATCGTTGTCAGTTTTACAATGGAACAAGATCCTCTGGTTCACAGCCCCCTGTGAAAGAAACCATTTCCCTGCCTTTACTGACACCTGAGCACTTCCAGGTCTTTTTGCCAGGGCTTTATAAACTGTTCTTGCTACTGTCACGTCTCCTGCTTGGCTGGGACTTTGTGCAGCAAGAATAGCCCCACACAGGAGTGTTCCCACCACACAAACATCTTGGCAAGGGAGTTAATTTATCAGTATATTACAAACACACCACCTAATGACCCACCAGCCCATTTCCTGCACTTGGCCTGGTGTTCCAGCATTCAGGGCTGTCCAAAGCCCTTGTTCCAGGTTGATATCTAATCACTTGGCAGGATCTATTGTAATGTAAATACAGGAAAACCCTTGGTAATTGGCCACCTTCACTGGGCTACCCTCGCTCCTGGAAAGGCAGCCCAGAAAATGTGTAATGGACTATGAGCAGCTGGTCTCCATCTTCTCCAAAAAGCCACTGTGAAAGCACTTTCTGTGGGCTCTTTGCACCTCAGAGGCTGTTACTGAGATGTTTGCAGTGCCAGAGACCAGTCATGGGATCATGGAATGGTTTGGTTTGGAAGGGACCTTGAAGATCATCTCATTCCACCCCCTGCCGTGGGCAGGGACACCTTCCACCAGCCCAGGTTGCTCCAACCTGGCCTTGGACACTTCCAGGGATCCAGGGGCAGCCACAGTTTCTCTGGGCAACCTGTGCCAGGGCCTCACAGGAAAGAATTTCTTCCTAATATCCCATCTAACCCCGCCCTCCCCCAGTTTGAAGCCATTCCCCCTTGTCCTGTCACTGCATCACCAGAAATCACCCCAGTCTGGTCCCAGATCCTTTTTTATTATTCCTGGTCTCAGCAAATTGCTTAGAAATGCCATTTTGCTTTTTTTTTTAAAAACAATGCTGCTGTTTTAACCTTTATCAATGCAGAAAAACCTTCTGTCACAATTCAAATCCACACAAAACAAATGGCAAAGGTGATCGGCCCCAAAAGGAAGGTTCAGGGTGAAATCAGGGGGAATGTTGAAAAGTAAAAGGAAAGAAAGAGAGAAAGAGAGAAAGAGAGAAAGAAAAAGAAAGAGACAAAGAAAGAAAAAAGAAAGAAAGAGAGAAAGAAAGTAAAAAGAAAGAAAGAGAGAAAGAGAGAAAGAAAGAAAAAGAAAGAGAGAAAGAGACAGAGAAAAAGAAAGAAAGAAAAAGAGAAAGAAAGAAAGAAAAAGAAAGAAAGAGATGCTACAAGGTAATAATATACTGGCAAACAGTCTTTTTTTTTTGCTAAATTAAGAGTAGTTACCTCACAGGTCTTGTCATTACTTTTTTTTTCAGTGTGTTGGTCCATATTTTGCACTGGGGAGACCTATAACTTTCTGGTTTAACAGGAATCCAGTGCTTTTCTTTCTTGGGATGGTTTTATACCCAGAATTTGTGTGCGTGGGACTTCACTATAACATGAAATGGGAGGGCTGGGCTTCTTTGTTCATTATTTTGATTTTTAATTGTTTGGACACGCTGTGGAATGATTTCATTTTCTGAGGATTTTAGAAGGAAATGTCTTGATTTTATATTCCTGGCAGGCAACGATCACATTCCATGAATGACATGGAAGCTGTGCCCTGAATCCTGGACAAATGGAAGTTCCCCAAAACCCACTGGAGGAGGTGAAAATATCCTTGTTAACCCCAATGCACCTTCAGCCAGGACTTCAGGTAAAAAATACCAGGACTGAACCTATATTTCATTATAAAGAATTGGGAAATAGGGTTCTAGAACCTGTTTTTCCAGTGTCTGTGCATAGGTTGTGCAGAGTGCTAAATCTGCTCAAAAGCTAAATAAATGCCCATTCTGGGACAAATTCTGATAACTTTTTTCTTTTTTAATTTTTTTAATAAATGTTTTGACATCAAACATCCTGTTTCATTCTACCACTGACACTTGTAAAAAAACCCACTGGGGTGGTTTGTTTTCCTGGCGACGCACATTTCAAAAACGTGCTGAAATTTGATTTTGATAAGGTCAAAACATTGCAGTGTAACTTAAAATACTGGCCAGAGCAGACTGTCAAGCACGTCTGTCATAATGCTGGTGAAATTCGTGTTTCAAGGGGCTGTAAAAAAGCAAACAGTTAAGTCAAAGTAAAATTAGTACCTTGTCATAATGAAACATTTGTGCCTTCTGGAAATGAGGAACCGAGCAGGCAATCACTGCTGAAAATCCCTGTGTATCCCACAAAATTCCATGGTTTAGGCAAAAACCAGCAGCTTTTGTTGGAAAAAACAACAAGTTGTGGCCGGTTCTGCTTCAGTGCTGGTTGCAGGGCACAAACTGCAACCCAAAATATCACTTTTAACAGGACTGCCCTTGAACCACCTGCCTGCAAAGCCCTGAGTGAAGGTTGGTAGGTCTGGGAATATTGAAGCTTCCTTTGTATTTATTCCCATAAAACCACACTCTTCCCTTCTCCAGAAAGAAAGGAGAGGAAGAAACGGGCAGTGGTAAAGTTTGTGTCACAACGTTTGTGAACTCAAAGGATAAATTCAAAGTATAAATTCCAAGTGTGAATTTAAAGTATGAATTCAAAGCGTGAATTCAAAGTGTAAATTCAAAATATGGATTCAAAATACAAATTCAAAGTATAAATTCGAAGTGTAGATTCAAAATATAAATTCAAAGTATAAATTCAAGATATAAATTCAAAGTATGAATTAAAAGTGTAAATTCAAAGAGTAAATTCAAAGTATGAATTCAAAGTATGACTTCAAAGTATAAATTCAAAGTCTGAATTCAAAGTGTAAATTCGAAGTACAAATTCAAAATATAAATTCAAAGTGTAATTTCAAAGAGTAAATTCAAAGTATGAATTCAAAGTGTGAATTCAAAGTGTAAATTCAAAGTGTGAATTCAAATTGTAAATTCAAAGTATGAATTCAAAGTATGACTTCAAAGTATAAATTCAAAGTATAAATTCAAAGTATGAATTCAAAGCATAAATTCAAAGTGTAAATTCAAAGTATAAATTCAAAGTGTAAGTTCAAAGTGTAATTTCAAA